TTTTTTTTTTTTTTTTTAGGATAATAACCAATGCAGGTGCTCGCATAATTAGAATTTGTGACCTTCCGGGCCAGCTTCTCCATTGTTGTAAACCAGCTGAGAAAGTTGCAAATTATGATCGTGTAACCCTGGGACAGTTAGGAGCAGAAAGGTCGGCGATTTGAATCCCTAGCGCCACGTAACGGAGTGAGCTCCCGTTGCTTGTCCCAGCTTCTGCCAACCTAGCATTTTGAAAGCGTGTAAAAAATACAAGTAGAAAAATAGGAACCGCCTTTGGTAGGAAGATAACAGTGTTCCATGCGCCTTCGGCATCTAGTCATGCTGGCCACATGACCACGGAGATGTCTTCGGACAGCGCTGGCTCTTCGGCTTTGAATCGGAGATGAGCCCCGCCCCCTAGAGTCGGGAACAACTAGCAGGCATGTGTGGGGAACCTTTACTTTTTAACCCTGGGACAGTGCAGTTCTCATAAATACGAGTCAGTTGCCATGCACCAGTTCGTGAACACTGACCACAGGAATGCTGCTATGGTTATAAGCGCCAGCACCGGTCATAAGTCACCTGTTTCATGTTGTAACTTTTGAGTGGTTGCTAAACAAACAGTCATAAGTCGAAGACTACCTTCATTTGAAGCCTGTGCAGCAATAGAAAGGGGTTCCTGATCCAGTAGATTTTGGAAAGCAGGTTAGAATGTGTGAGAGAAAGCAATTGAAAGGACAGATAAATCCATTTGGGTTCTGAACAATCCTCTATTCCTTCTCCTTCAGGAAATGCACCTTTGACATGTTCAACTTCTTAGCCTCTCAGCATCGTGTGCTTCCTGACGGTGGCCCTTACGATGAAGAAGAAGATGAAGTACAGCTGAAATCCACCAGGTAAAGAGGCCCTCTCGGTTTCATTGTCCCGGAGCTGGAGTAGACATCATGTCGTCTGTTCTGACTCTTGTGTTCGGTAATATCATGTCCAGCAGCTCTGTGCAACCAAAACAACGCGATTCAGGCTTATTGAAAGGAGAAAAGGAAGTTGTGTTGCAGAAATCTTGGCACCTAGATTTTAAATATTCCATTTGTCTTTTTAAGTTTGTTAGGATGAGAACCGCTTGATTTTCTTAACTAACCACTTGTTAGCAAGTTAATTATTAGTATGGAGTTGGCTCCTCATTTTCCTAATAAAGAAACGATGTGTTCGTGTTTCAAATTTGACTGTTTTGCAAGCCATCAATCTATTTTTCCAGATTTTATGGCATTCACTGTAGATGCAGATTTATTCATGAGTAGAGAACAACTCTTGAAATCGGGTTAATTAACTCTTAGATTTCTGATGTCAAATAGAGCTGCATGATAGCTTCTAATTAGGTTCTAATTGGAACCTGCAAAATCCTAATTACTGATTTTGAGGTAGATGAGCTATGAAACCTGTAAAGTGCTTTTTCTTCTTTAGCTAATAAAACTAAAAGCCTGAACAGCCTGTATCCCTAATAACAATCTTTCCACCACATCTGTACCAAAGAATTGCTCTAAAAAGGGGGGGGGGGTATTTCCTGCCCCAAATCATATGCCTGTTCACAATATCCTGTGTAATAGCTTTGAAAGAGCCAGTCATGTGCTTGTGTGGTTTAGGGCCTGATCTGATCTATTATATCTTAGGCGAGCCACCAGTTTGGAGCTACCCATGGCCATGAGGTTTCGGCACCTGAAGAAAACTTCCAAAGAGGCTGTGGGAGTGTACAGGTAATGCTTCAAAGGGATCACAGAATATAGAGTTGGAAGGGACCTTGGAGGTCTTCTAGTCCAGCCCCCTTCCCTGCTCAAGCAGGAAAGCCTACACTATTTCAGACAACAGGTTTTCCAATCTCTTCTTAAAAACCTCCATTGTTGTAGCACCCACAATTTCTGGAAGCAAATTGTTCCACTGATTTAAATTGTTCTAACTTATCAGGAAATTTCTCCTTAGTTCTAG